CTCTTCCACGGTGCTCTGTGATAAGACCGTTAGGACTTCTTGGGGCACCTAAATCAATATAAAAATATATATACTTTTTTATGTTGATTTAGGTGCCCCAAGAAAAAAAAAAAAAAAGAAATATATATATATATATATATATATATATATATATATAATAATATATGAAAGCGTGGGAATTTCTTATAGTTTACTAATAAAAAACTTTATAAATGTACATTTAATAAACAATAAAATAATTTCCGTTTAGAAAAAGAAAAGTTCTAAATTTGTGAAACTTAACTTTTACATATCAAAAACACATATAAACAATATAACGTCCATACGTTCTCGGTGCTACCATTAAAAAACGTATATCAAAATACAATGATATCTATCCAAAACAGTTTTAGCCTTGGAAGAAGATACTTATATCGTTATGATTTCAAATAAGTTCCAAAGGGTTAAAAAAATGAACGAAATCTAAAGCACTTAAAATCTTTAGATTTAGTTAATTTTGATTGCACAAACTTTTTAAATCATCTAGAGTGTAAGAGTACCGAGCGGTTTGGTTCAAGGTTGTTTAATTGTATAATATGTTATACAGATATATAAATTAATATTACACACTCACACATACATATATATATATATATATATATATATATATATATATATATATATATATATATATATATATATATATATATATATATATATATATATATATATATATATATATATATATTTATATATATGTATATATATATATATATATATATATATATATATATATTTATATATATATATATATATAAATATATATATATATATATATATATATATATATATATATATATATATATATATATATATATATATATATATATATATATATATAAATTATGTTAGTGTATTCTACAAATAGTACTCAATGTTCTTAAAGAGCAGAGCATTAATAATTTAGTAAAACACTTTTCTAATTTTTTTGCTCTTTAACAGCATGTTTCACCGTCAGTAGGTTCATCAGGAAGTCTTCTACGACACATACCAGGTTTTTCAAGCACCGACAAAAGTCTTCTACGACACATACCAGGTTTTTCAAGCACGGTGCTAGAAAAACCTGTAGCCCAGCCAGTCGTTGTTCCAATGTCATCTCCTGATAATTTTGACTCTGAGCAAAGTTATCTTTTTTTTTCCCCTAGAGATCACTAAGGAAGAGCTTTTGCTGTGGAGGGAGAAAGGTTTAGCTGCTTAAAAAAGTGAGAGAACCTCAAAGTCAATTGTCAAGTTCTCTGTCTGTGCAAATTAGCTTGCAGTGGTAAATGATCGGGCAAAACGTCACATAAAATTGATTTAAGACTTTATTAGAAAGATACATAATGAAAAAAGACAACAGGATACTCTTCAGGTAATTACTGAACATTATTATACAGACCTCTAGCGGGTAAATTGTTAGGGAGGGGTGAGGTCGTTTTTGAAAAATTAGCCAAATTTAGAATAGCAAAACATACCATGCTTATTTTTAAAAACAAAAAAAGGAAGTCAATTGCACCTAACAATTTACACTTAAAAATCCTTCCCCCACCCAATCTACGAGCATGCTATACAACAATGTCCGTAAAACTGTTTAAAGTATTTCCATATCATTTTATTTAATAAACTGAACAATCAATTTCAAATACTTGGAATTAAACTATTTTACAAAACAACCAACCTTTTTAAGTTTATTTATTATTTTCTAGGTTGTCCATAAAAACTAACAACAAATATCCATGACACTTACAAAGAAGTATCTGCAAAGCATCTAATAAGTATCTCGTTTTTGTAGCTTTTCAACTTAAATTTAGAAATATCTATATTCGAAACTTTAAAATATAATTCAGGAAAAATTTTATGATATAGAAATTGTCTAAAATCATCATCTTTACCTTAGAGTTGATTTGGAAGGCTAAAATTTTCACTTTAAGCTACTAATACAATGATAACGATTGAACTTTCCCACATTTTGTAAGTTCTGAAAGTTTCTTGAAGGTTTTAGAGTATTTAGAAGAATTTACTGATATTATTGTATAGCATGCGCGTAGATTGGGTGGGGAAAGGGCTGCTAGGTGTAAATTGTTAGGTGCAATTGACTTCCTTTTTTTGTTATTAAAGATAGGCATGGTATGTTTTGCTATTCCAAATTGTCTAATTTTTTTAAAACGTTTTTTAAAAATTATGCAATTTGGAGATGACATTGGAACAACGACTGGCTGGGCTCCAGGTTATTCTTTTTCTGGGACGGTAAAATGTAGCAATTTGTTAAGGATGTCATTTTTGACATCGACATCTAAATCCCTGTCAGCAAAAGACAAAACCACAAGCTAAATACCTAGATGTGTGCCATAGAAGGATTTTGTTGACAACTTTCCCTATCTTTGCATAGGATTTGTAATCATCGGACATTTGGAGCTGGTAAGCTTAAAAGCTCTTAGGTCATTTGAAAAAGCTTGAGTTTCCATAGGACTCTTCAGAAAAAATAGACCATTAAAAAACACAATTTAGTTTGTAGAATTGTTTATGTTCTTGAGAGTAGCAGGCTTTTGAAACTAGTGCTTTTGAATTATTCGGATAATAGTTCCGTGTCATCTCCAGGGCAAGAAGGTAAACCCAGTTACTCATAAGCCTGGTCTCATTATGAGCTGCCGGCTGCTAAAAGAAAAATTAGGCATATCTGCACCCAGAAAGTGAGCCAGTAGCTGGCAAAGATACTTGCAGTCTCCTCTCTTGAAGGTGTTTCTCTAAATTGCTGCGGTGCAAAGTTCTTTAGTTTTGACTGCAAGTTGGTGCAAAAGAGCATCTGGTCTAAATGCATCCTAAGACCATTCAAACTTGACAATTCTTTCAAGTTTATTAACTTCTTTGTTGATTTGCTGCTAAATTTTATGAAGAATAATATAGAGGTATTTGCTTGAATTTTTTGTTGTACCAAAAACAAGCTCCACAAAATAAGACATATGTCTCTCATATATGTGATGCCTACACGTTAGCCAGAGAACATGCCTCCCTAAAACATGAACAATAAAATTCCTAATAGCTCCTTTTTTCTTTCTCGTGTTGCTTGCTGTGATTTCAGTTCACACTCCAATTTATTTGATCTGATAGCTCAGAGTATTCAAGGCTACTTTGAATAGCTATAGCCTGGTTGCTTTCCGTGGAACTTTTAATTTTTAAAATGCCCAGCAAAAAATCTAAAGGGTCAGCTTCAGGAGAAGAAACGCTTATAGCTATCTTTTCATGATTGTGAAAATTGCTTCTGCACTGGTGTACTGCCTTACAATTTAAGTATTTATTTTTTAAATACTAAGGTAGGCCTAGTTTTATGAATGTGTTTTACTGTAAACTAATACAAATTGAACTAATTTTGAAACATTCTTTAATGCTTTTGTAAAAGTCTACGATAAAATTTCAATGCCATTTTTTTTCTTCTAGATTTTCTAGATTTATAATTTGAATTGCAAAGCGATGAAGCTTGTGTGATGGCAATGTTTAACTCTTATAAGAAAAAAGTTACATAACTTAGTATAAAACAAATTTGTTGAAAAAGTATCATTTTTATTATGTTAATACTTAGGCAATAGTTTACATTTTTTTGGTGATAGCTATTTTTGTTTATTATTTATATGCAAAAAACTTGAAAGTGTTGGACATATACAAAAGCTTGTTGGAAATCGTTTAAGAGAGCTAAGAAAGCAAAATATTTGTGGTTTTCAACACCTGTTAAAAAATTTAACAGTTGTTAGAAACCTTACCAATAATTCTATAAGCCCTATTCAAAACTTTGCAAACAATAAAAATGCTTGCTTATCTGTAAGATTTAAAATATTTATACTTTTGTATTTTATTTTTCTTATTTTTTGAGAATTGCATTTTAACAATATTTAGTTTGACTTGCAACATAATATTTTAATATTGGGTCAAGCAATTTACTTCAATTTTCAGGAGTTATTCTAAATACCTGGCTGAGGAAAATAGATTTAAAAATTTTATAAAATACATTGATTTTTTGTCTTTTTTAAATCTATTTGCTTTTACATAGCTTATCACATGAAAGTATTGCTAAAAGTAAAAAATATTAAAGAAAAAGGCTAAACATTGTTTTTATCCATAAATTTTAATTAATTCCTTTTATTTCATGGGTTAACAGATGTTTGCTAAGTTTTAAGTTTAAATATTACTATAACTTAAAAAAGCGTGTTGCAAGTGTAGGTATTAAATGCTTCTTTTTAACTTTATTTTGACAATTTTCTGCTTTTTTATGAAAGACCTACATATTTAGCAATAACTACGATGCATGAAACTTTTTGAAAACTATTTGAAATACTTTTTTAAATTAAATGGTGGCTTTTAAAGTTTTGTTACAGTTCTAAATTTTTTTTTTTATTTTTGTGGTTATCTACCTTGATAAACTACTATTTGCATATAAACTTAGTTTTATATATTTACTTTTAATATATAAATTTGGTATAAAACCGCCTTAACGATGTCTACAAAATTCAAATGCTTTTTTAAACACACGAATCCCTCCCCCTCCCCCTCCCCCTCCTCCCTTATCTTATATCTTTTCCTTTATATCGCTATATGCGTTACAACTTTATAACTTATTTAATGATAAATTCACACAATAGATATACTGTATCTTTAATTCTTACTCTTATATATTTTGAAACTTGAATATTGAATTGTGAAAGTCTTTTTCGATTACAGTGGTATAAGATGAGAAATAAATTTACAGTTATATTAGTATTTGAATTATTTTCAAAAAAAAATCCATCGAATTTACATAAATTCATATGCAATAAAATATGAAAATTACCACCAAAAAAATAAAAATTAACAAACAGGAACTGTTTTCATTTACTACATATAAAAATATAAAATTTTTGCTTTATTAATCATCGATCAACTACATTTACGTGACATCGGACTCGGTTTATCTGATACACGACATTAAGGCAAATCTGTATCAAAGCACTCACATGCCCAACTCATTGCAGACCACTAAAAATGTTTTTAAATAGTATAATAAGTTTATAGTATATAAAAAATAGTATTTCTAATTTTTATATGATATAATGAAAGTCAATAAGTTATTCATTTAACCACCCAAACGAAAATGAATATTCAATTAGGTGCACTTAACTGTTACCAACATTGCTCTTCTGAACGCTTAAAAGATAAGTGCAAACACAAGTACCTTCATCAAAAACAAGATTTGAAGGACAGTGTGAAGAATTCATAATGCAATCCAATTTACCGTTCTTTGGTTCTTCTATATTGATATTTCTTGCTTTGGATGAATTTGTAACTATTAAAAAAAATTAAACGTTGTCTTATATTACACGTTTTTAATTATTGATTAGAATAAAAAATGAATTTTTTACAATAATTAACATCCCAAACAGTATGAATTGTGTTAACTAATTCTGCTGGAATGCATTTCTTAAATGCTTTTATGAATTTTTTAACACTACATTCTTTAATTCTATATAGGTAGGATAGACTAAGAATCCTTGTGTTAAATTTACGTCCACAACTTGAGTTCGTATTCACATTCAAACTCTGCATTGTTTAAATCTATTGGTAGAATATTAAAGAAAAATCAACTAAATTCTATTTATTTTTTAGTCAATCAAATAATTCATACAAATATAGTTGTTGCTATTTAGGCAACTTTGATAAAAAAAATAAATGTAAATGCTCACTTTATTCTTTTTTAGCACAACACTTTTTTTATTAATGAAAAAAATATTATGATAAGAAATAAATTTTACTAAAAAAGGGCTTGGAAAGGGACAAATAGAATCAGACTATATGAAAAATTCAAGGAGCTTTTTTAACACCTGATTTTCAAAAAACATGTGAAGGACATTTATTGCCAACTTGCAAAAAAACTTTTCAAAAGGTTATCAAACCCATATTTAACAGTTTTCCACCTGTCAAACATAAACACAATTTAGAATTGTGACCCATTAAACAAAAAGCAAACTACATTTTTCTGGAACACTGACCAATAAATTCAGTATAACTCAATAAATTATTGTTTACACAACGCCTCATTGTAATCCTATACATAATACATATTTAATTTTAAGAAAAATTATTTATAAAAGTTGTTTTTTTCCCCTCAAAACTGATAATAAAGATAGCGATCAAAATGGGAAAACTAAATAAAAGAACTTATTATAAAACCAGTTAACCAAAACCAGATTACATTTATTCTTCATTAAAAAACTACAGCCACATACAAAAATTTGAATATCTTTAACTGTTGATAGGAAACCGACCAGTCACTGTGAATAGTTATAGTAAAAATTTTTAATGTCACATAAGTTTAAAGATTTGAAAAAGTTGTCAAACATAAGCATGTACACATTTTTTTTACTGGTCATTTGGGTTGTATTGTATTGTTCTGCAACACGTTGTTTTGCTAGAATTATCTGTTTATTAGAATAATATAATTCAAGCCCAGTTTATTAAAGTTGATTTAAAATGCCTCAAGGATAAATAGAATGTTTAGAAATGTGTTGATTTTATTTGGTCCATCATTTTTAGGTGTGTTGTTGATTAGATGCAAATACTGCCTCAAATTGAAAAATCTATTTATTTACATAATGCTAGTTACATTAATTACATAAAGCTGCAAGAGCAACTTTTTAGCAAAACTTCATGTAAATTATGTTAATATATATTCCATTTGATTTGTAAACTATTAAGGTTAGTTTTCTCTACTCCAAATGAATTGCTAACTTCAGGAATGCTACTTGTCTTCAAATTGTTCACAAATTCACTATGTAATCCAAAGAGAACATCTGCCATCATTTTTACAGACATGGTAACAGTTTGAACTTTGTTTTTACTGCATATAGGAGACAAGTCCAGAACTTGTTCCTCTTCTGCTTTAAACAATAATTCTAAAGCACTGTTTACTGTTAAAAGACAAGTGCTAAGTGGGACAAAATCATGTTTTTTCTAAAATGTTTCTGACAGTTTTATATTAGTCATGCTTCATAAAAATTTGCATTCATAATTTTTGAACAAAGGTGAAAAATAGTGCACTTCTGAACATTTGAAGGACAAGTTTTTTAAAACATAACTAATAAAAATCTGTTTACCAATGTTGCACTTCTGAACATTTGAAGAAATGTACTTTTAAACTTAGATAAAAGAACATAATACCTAAACTTTTTTTTATTACAGTTGCAAAGAAAACTGTTTAAAGAATTACTTGGAAGATAGTAATTCTTTAAAATGTTTTCTCTTGAAGATTTACAATGTTTATAATTTTCCCAGCTAGCTTGAACATAAAAACCATGTATTAAATGTTTATAAACCAACAGAAATATTTTCTTTTAAATACACTTAGCAGTGATAAGAGGCTATCATATAATTTTTCTGGCAATACTTCAAAGAAAATTGCTTGTTATGTCTTGACCAACCTGCAGAAGATGCATATGGAGAAGTTGAAAATTAAAAGTTTTTTCAATAACAATCCAAAAAAAGCCACAAAAACAGAGCTTGGTCCACAATTAGAGGGATAAAAAGAAACAATAAAGAAATGCAAAACAAAAATTCTTAAACAAGTCAGATTAGGTGTAAATTGCATAGCTAATTTAGCATTACAGTACATACCAGTACAAGATACTTTTTATTTTAGAAAACTCAGTGATAATGGTTTAAGAATTCACAACCCTGCTTCCCAAAAAACTATTGTTTTATTTTCATCATGAAAGGGAACCATTATCACTTTGATAATGGTTCCAATGAAGCATGTTCTTTGACTATGAGGTAAATAAAAAACAAAATTTTTGTTACAATTGTGCTGATCAAAACAAGAACCACACCCTTGTTAGACTTATATGACTCTTCAAGAGACTAAAAGATTTTACAAAATAATTTTGGTATTCCTGTTAGGCGACATTCTATTATCCCTGATGACCGTGATTTTGAAATTATAGAGAGAAAACTAAGATAAGTAAAGAGATGTTACGAAAATGATGAAGTAATTAATAAAAAGAGTGTTGGCTTCTTATCATGACAAGAATAAATGGTACAATCATCAGCGAACAATCCCACATTTGATGCGATAATATCTGGAAGATTGTTAATGTAAATTAAAAAGATTATAGGGCCAAGGATTGAACCTTAAGGAACCCCTGAAATTACAGGATATGAAAAAGGGTGCTATCCATTGAGTACAACAATATCAAGAGCAATAGCCTTAACCTCTCCACCTTTATCTAATGCACGATAAAACCTATCGGTTATTAATCTTAGCAAATCAGCTGTAGAACGAGAAGATTAAAATCCATATTTATGATCAGATTTATGATCATTAAAAATAGAGATGACAGCGCTGGAGAACACTTCTGCAAGACTATAACAGATAAGTTGTCCGGACCACAAACTGTAGAAGAGTTTAAGCAGGAAATTACTTTAGATACAGACGCTGGACTGATACGAATTTCAAGCAATGGATCAACCAGTTTGACGGTTATATCAGGTAGAATGCAACTAATGGAATCAAGATGATGATGTTGATGAAAAGTTCTTAGCAAACAATTCAGCTTTGTCTCTAGGTAAGGTGACAATTTCTGAACCATACAAAAGATGGAGAATAACAGATTTGCTCTTATTATTGATACTATTAAAGATTCTTCAGAATTCACATGAGCCTAACTATTGTGATGAAATACGAGATTTCATGACCTGAGATTAGCGGACTTTTGTGTTTTTTGTTTTTTACAGTCGTTTCCAGCAGTAATAAACAGACGTCTGTTTTGTGGAGATTGTTTTGCTGATAGATATGAAAGTAACGATTTCGATTGGAAATTGCAGCAGCACAATCTGAATAGAACCATGGAGAAGAGTGAGGCTTGACCTGGAATCGTTGAGAGGGAATAAAGGATTTCATGCCAGCCTGGATTCACAAAGTTATGTAAGAAGCACATTTGTCAGCAGAAAGACAAAAGATTTCTATCCAAGGGCCATCACAAAATAAATCAAGGAAAGTGTCCCAGTCAGCTTCAAGATGTGAGAGGTACGATGATAGGGTGATTCAGATGATGAAGAAGAATGAGATAATAGTTTTAGAGAGATCAAACCGTGATCAGAAACACCTAAGAGTAAATGAAGAAAAACTGAAAACAGTTTTTCCACATTTATCACCTAAATGCAGTAAAACAAACATTTACTGCATTACTAAGTAAATAAACTTGATAATGCAGTAAATGTTTGTTTTATATTGTCGTTTTGCTAAATGTTATATTTTATTTTTATTGTAAAATGGCATCGTCTCAAAACTAAATCTAGATTTGAGACTAACCAAAACACGTCTTAAACATAGATTTTTTTAACGTTACGTTTGATAAACAAAATAAAAAGACGAGTTGTAACTTAAAAAAATTATATTTATAACGAAAATTAGTTACGTTTTAATTCTTAAATGTTTTACGTTACACTAAGTCTCGGTTGGTTATACTTTTAAATGTTTTACGTTACGCTATGTCTCGGTTGGTTATTCTTTTAAATGTTTTACGTTAAGCTATGTCTCGGTTGGTTATACTTTTAAGGGTAATAAATACCTTAGATTGCTTAAATACCGTAAGTTGTTTTAACTTTTAAATGTATTTTTTTTTTCAGGTAAATGCAACTTTTAAAGCTTTAAAAGTTGTGTTAACCTTTAGCTAAATGTAAACATAACTCTTTTTTATAAAAACTAACCCACAAGGGTTGGTTAATTTTATAATTTTTTTTTTAATTATAATAGTTTTGACAAACGTGTTATTGCGTTTTCAATAATCCAAATACATATATAATCAAATATATAAATAATGTTGTTCATAAAATAATTTTGTTAAATACCGTAACTCATGAGTTACGGCATTTATCAATGTGTTTGTCAAAACACTTGTAACTAAAAAATACATTTTTTTAAAACTCCTAACTATCATCGTTATTTTAATTGTAAAATAGAGTCTTAATTAGTTAATCTTTTTTTTTGTAACTAATTTGTCTCAAAAAAAAAAGTTTCAATTCGCAAAGTTACGTCACATTTATTTTATTTAAACTTATTTACAGTGGGGTGCAGAATTATAACCTCACCTGTATGGAAGCCTTAAAACTATCTTTCAAGGTTTGTTGATCAAAATCTATTTGAAGATCATTTTTTGAAATAAACAAAATAATTTACATGAATCTATTTATACTTTAATTGACACAATTTATAAAACTGTTTAAAACTGTGGTGCATAATTATAACTAATAAAAAAAGCAGTAAATTCTGTTTTCAAATTAAATTTCTTACATTTTAAAATAATAAAATACATTCTAAAAAAATGCTAAGAGAAATTACACTCTCCGATAAAGAAAAAGACAAGATTGGTGCCTACAGGTCAGTACGTTTATCAAACAGGACAAATGCTTACAAACTGAGACAACGTTTGATTAATAATAAAATCCAAAAAATTATTGCACGAAGCATCGATGTTGTAGAAAACCTATACTTACAGCTCGCCAACAGCGACGAATTGTGCATGCCGCAAGTAACCGTACAATCTCCGCGAGACAAATAGGTGCTGATTTTGGATTAAAATGCTAAAAATGGACGGTGAATCGTGTAATTAACAAGTAAGGTTTTCTTAGATATGCAAAAAAACGCACATCTTCAGTACTAACTGAAGCGCACAAACGCATTTGTCTTCAATGGGCCAAGGGCCACATTGCTTGGGAAAAAGAATGGCAAAAAATTGTGTGGTCTCATGAAAAAAATTCAATCTTGATGGTCCAGATGGCTGTAATTACAACTAGTATGACATTAAAAAAGAAAGTATTTTCAAAAAAGGGTTATGGAAGGCGGAGAAGTAATGATTTGGGGTGCGTTCAGTTATTTTTAAAAAACTTTGATTGGCTTTATTACTACTATATTGAATGCTGAAGGATATAAAAATTTGTTAAATGGTCATTTAACAAATTTCTATATCCTTCATGAATGATATTAAGTAAAAATTTAGCAACATCAATTTTATTTTCCAGCAAGATAATGCTCCAAGTCATAGAGAAAAGTCAAATATCTCATGGGTGACCAGCAAAAAAATTCAATTATTAGAACGACAAATGCTCTCACCTGATTTAATTCCCATTGAAAACGTATGGGGCACCTTAGCAAGACGTGTTTATGCAGAAAGAAAACAATATTCGAATGTCGATGAACTAAAAAAAGCAATAGTTCACGTTTGGAAGAAAATATCTCTTGCAGATCTTAAAAAGCTTTTGGAAAGTATGCCAAACCGAACATTTGAAATTATTCAAAATGGCGGCAATAAAACAAAGTATTAATAAAAAATTCAAGTCGCAATACAAAACATTATGGATTTTTGTAGAACCATTTTTCTTAAATTTTCAAATCAATTAACAAAATGAAACCAGACTCTATTACAAATAAAATATCAATCAAGTAAGATATTAAGCAAATGAATAATTTAAAAATAACTATATAATTATTTCTCTATATATCTCTCCCCATATTATTTCTCCATATCTTCTCTATATAGTTTGCCCCATATATAAAGATGTACATATGAAAAAATGATTCAATAGAAAGAAACATTAGGCTACAATGTTACATGTAATTAGATTAAAATGTTACGTGTTGTTACGCAACATTTTGCATGTACCATTACGTTACAGTATTACGTTTTGTGGCGTAAAATGCTACATCTAGGTTACGTAAAAATAAAGGACATTTTGTACGTAACGTAACGAACCTCGCTTACGTTACAATACGTAACATAACTTTAAAGTGCTATAGGGGAATGTAGTTGTAGGTCACCAATAGTCTTTTTAGTTTACTTTAGTTGATTCCATGCCATAGAGATGCAATACTGCCATTTTTTCAAAATGGTTTTCTAACCAAGGTTAGCATTATATACATTATGTAGTAGAAAATAACATTACGTAGCATTATATACATTAGGTATCATAAGACATAAAAAAAACAGAAAATTTATTGGTTGAAATATTAATGGTTTTAAATGATGTATTTAGTTTTTTTCCACTAATTTTGAGATTTTCATTATTTTAATAAACTTTTGAGCAATTACTCGTAAATATATGAGTTTGTTAACTATCATGTATATTTTATTTATTTTTGTTAACTATAGTTTAATTTAACATAGTTATTAGAAATTTCATTTTAAAATGTTAACTTAATATGAAAATATTACAAAAAAGCTGTTTATTCAAACACATATGAAGGCTGATGTATAGTTAGGAGTACTAACCATAAATAAACTATATTACATGTTTTATTTCCTATTTTGCTAAAAATATTCTAAAGCTTTTAAGCAAACAAAAAATTAAGAACTATTTTAAAGAAAATAAATTATATACCTCCCATTGTTTTTTTGCATATTCTGATGGCTTTAAAAGTGTTGTCAACAATGGTTTACTACTTTTTCCCGAAACAGTTAGTATCTTCAAATTAAAATGATTATTTTAAAAATTTGAAAAGTAAATTAAACCACAAACAGTAAATTTTTAAATGAAATAGAAAATATACATTGCTTGGTTTTAGTAAAACCAAAGTCTTTTGTCTTTTTTGCTCAGTACCTTTTTGTTTGTCTTTTTTTTTACTTTAAATTAAAAGTTTTACTCCAGTTATTAACTTTAGCTAAATAGTTTTTACGAAACATTACAAATAAATTAGTAAAAATACTTTATTTTGTTTCGATTGTTTGTTTTTTTATTGTTGAATTTGATTGTTATAATGAAACATTTTAGACAGTAGAAACATTTAATTGAAATGGAGACCAATTAATAGTGTTGATATTAATAGTGGATTTTATTTTAGTATCTTTAAATCTCTCTAAAGTCTAAATCTATCATGATTAAATCTTCTATTTATACAATGAATTTGTATTGTAAAAAAAAAATAAAAAGTTTACACAACTCGAATTATTGTACATTATGATCACCCTCAGTATTCTCTTCTACATCCCTATCAAGGCCTTGCAATTTTGAAATCAAACAAAAAGATTCTTAAGCAGAAATTTGAAAATGAATTGCCTGAGATAATTTTTAAAAAATTACTGAGTGCACTATGTCTTTAACGTGTTGTGTTACATCATGCTTGTGAAAAGCATGATGTATCTTGATGTTTGATGTGTGACATAAGCATGATATGCTATATGTGACAAGCAACTTGTCTAACTATGAAAAAAAAAGAATAAGAAATATGTATTAGTTTATCTTTTAGCAAAAGTCATTGTTTATGATGAATAACAATAATTTTAGGAGATAACATACCTACTTTAAATTATACTCTGGTATGCTCTAAACATCGGCCTGAAAATATTAACTTGATAATGATTACCAATTTGAATAAAGTTAATAACATAGAGTTTAGTGACATTATAATGAAAGTTGAAATTGAACAACTAACAGTTTTAAGTTACAAGTGTAATGATGACATTTTATGCAAGGTACTGGAGTGCCACTGTTAGGAACGTTCTAGTTATCTAACCTTATAATTTTTATGATAATATATATGATGCAGACCAATGATTTTCATGTCATAAAGTAGAATTAAATGAAGTCTTTATTTGATGAAAATAAAAATCGTTATAATAATATTAATAATACTGTGATAACAATCATTGTTATTACACAATTATACTGTTACTATTATTAAATTTTTATGTGCTAAAGACATTTTTTTTTACATTGTTACAACATAAGTTTTGACAATATTGAAATGAGTAAAAAGAAAGAAATTTTGCAAGAAGAAATATTTGCAATAAGAAGAAGCACTGTTGAAAAATCTTTGCATTCACTAGATATTATTGTTCAAGTCTTTGAGTATATGACTGTATCTTAGGCATAATATAAGTGTTTAAAAAGTTATTTAGTTTATCTATCAATTATAACTATCTAGTGTACATTATTTAATAAAATTGACTTAAAGAGCAAATAAACTGTAAACAAAATCAGTGTTGTTGGGGATGTTGTTAAATCTATTAAAATAACCCAGTGGAAAAATTATTTCTGTAACTTGCAATTAACAATCAAGAAAATAGACATTTTTTTTACTCTTTTTAAAATGATTTCTTAGAAACCTTGGAAAACTAAAATAAATATATTTTTGTTATATGATTATGTCCACTTCTGGAAAAATAGACATAAAAATTGGCTAACTGAAAAAGATGAAGAAAAAAAGTTTTAATTTAGTAAAACTGAGGAGTTAGCGATTGATTGAAAAAAATCTTGAGAAACTGAGATTGTTATAACTAAACTCACTTGCGAGACTTTTGTATATCTTGTCTAAATGAGCTCCAAAACCTGTAGAAAGCCTAAATTTGAAACTAGTAATGTATGTTTTTTGTGAAGAAACCCAGACAGCTTTGAAAACAAACCCAGTTATAAATCAGGAGCATATTAAAATTTTTGTTGCTATTCTGCAAATTTTTATTAACCATGGAAAATTATAATTGTACAAAGATGCAAGATTGCTAGATTTGCTTTGAGATGTTGCATTTGAAACAACAAATGTTTGCAATGCAATATTTTACTCATTATGAGGTTTAATAGACTTAATTAGCTTTTTACTTGAAAATTGTTGAAATCATTAATTTTCTGGGTAATTTTTCAACTGATTCTTTAGTGAAAGCTTTTAGTAAATCACGACTAGGTGCTGGTGGTGTGTAATTTCTTCTCGATAAGCTGTTAGGAAAACTAATATTTACCATACTTTTTTACTACTAAGATTTGATGCAGACTTTTATCACTGCTTAATGCATCATTTTTGTGATGGAGGTATTTAATAACTAGCTGAAAAAGAGAGTGAGATTTTTGATATAGATGAATGACTTAGAAGAGTTTATGAAACAAG